TTATGCACAACCTCGTTGTTGATTGGGGTCAGCCAAGAGAGGACCATGACATTCTTGTCTGGCAGCTTTGAACCTGCATCCTTCCCGTCCCCTGCTGCTGCTGCTGCTGCTGCTGCTGCTGCTGCTGCTGCTGCTGCTGCTGCTGCTCCCTCCTCCTTGGCCTCTCCATCTGCAGGTTCCATCTGAGCCTCCTCCTCCTCCTCCTCCTCCCCTTCATCGTCAATGTTCGCATCCTTGAGGGACTGAGGGACCAGGGAGCACAGGAACGAGACAGGGTTGGGGTACAGAAGGCGGGACTGCAGTCGCTTTTCTGAGATCTCAATAAAGTTGCATCCTCGTTTAGGGCAAACTTCATCCTTATCTGCCTCGACCGTTCTCTCTGGTTTCTGCAACGGCTCTGCTGAAGTGATCTTGAGTCAGAACGTAGCGAGCAGGAGAGAAGAGTTCTTCTCACGTTCTTCAACTTTGCGCTTCTTCTCTGCTGGCCGCCCCCTGGAATTTCTTCCCTGCATGACTTGTCAACAATGTTACGATGGTGATGGACCTATTACGCGGTGAGACGAAGAGTCTTCAGCATGGCCGGCTGATTTCACTTTCTGTTTCCGCTTGTCCGCACGAGGTCGCTTGCCCATCTTCCCTGAAGTCACGTGAGGCTAGGCTGTATCGGTTCAACAAGCTTTCTGTCCTCGCTCCTCTCTTCTGCCCTTGCTCTCATCTCTCATATCTACATGCCCCCACCTACTCTCCATCATCCTCGCTTCTTCTATTCTTCCACCTTCAATCCCCCTCCCCAGTCTTGCCCTGCTTGCTCGGTCCCATGTCTATCCTGGCCTATCTGTCCTGTCCTGTCCTGTCCTGTCCTGTCCTGTCCTGTCCTGTCCTGTCCTGTCCCATGTGCTGTGCTGTGCTGTGCTGTGCTGTGCTGTGCTGTGCTGTGCTGTGCTGTGCTGCTCTCTTCTCCTCTCCATCGCGTTTCTGTTTGCAAAACTTCACGTGCATGGCGCCTGTTCTCTGGTGGATACGAGCGGGGACGAGGTTCAAGGTCATGAGGTGGGATGGGGCCACTGGAAAGGAAGAGGAAATGGCAGTACAGGGTCAGAACGCGAATTGAATGCGCTCGTTGGGGGATGGGGAGAGGGGAGGGGAGGGGAGGGGGGAAGAGGAGAGAGGAGAAGGACGAGGACGGTAGGATCCTTCAGGGGACGAAGGAGGACACGGTTGTCTGCTGGGTTTCAATCTGACACTTGTGACTGTTTGTGCTACGGTGGATTTGTTGGTTTTTGAGTTTGGGGGTCGCATACGTTGTAGTTTCTTGGTCCTCCCATTATGATGTTGCTCTTCCACCCTCTGCTCCTCAACAGCATCCTCAGCATCGTGCAAAAGCTCCCTTCCTCTTCATGATCGTGCCTGTTCGCTTGTTTGATCGCTATGGTGCCATACCACGCCGGAGTCTTTCTGTGCAACTCCTGCCCTCTTGCCGTTCAGTATGACAGGATTCTGACGATTTTCATCCTCAGATATGGCAGATCGTGGAGAAAACAGGCACGAAGAAGCGGGAAAGTCAGCACGGCATGTTGCGATCCCCGCAACGACGGCCCCGTGGGCCAGGAGCCCCAGCAGTGAAAATGTCCCGCCCAAGGGAGACGTCATGTCGCCAACAGTGGCACCATGGTCGATCGGGCTAGTTGAACCTCAGCAGCTCTCACTGGAAGAGAAGCTGGCCAAGGCAAGAGGATCTCGACCGGGGGAGGCTGGCGCGGAGCCAGTAGATGCAACAGGAAATCCTCCAACGGAAGAAGGGGAGGGGAGAGAGGTAGCGCAGCTGTCGGTCGTGGAGGATGGAAAGCCCGTGACGTACGGGCTGAAAGTTCCTTACAAGTGGATCAAGACGCACCAGGTGAGAGATGGGGGAGATGTTGGGGAGATGCTGGCGTTGTACGTTGACATCACGCGTCAAGGATCTTGAGACGTTCAAGAAGAGCAAGACTTACGAGAACATCAAAGAGTTTATTCTTTCATTGAATCACAACTGTATGGGCAAGGTATCTTCTCTTTCCTCCTTCTCCCTCCCTCCCTCCCTCCTTCCTGGCCATGTCTCCGCTCCCCCCCCTCCTCCCCCCTTGCCATGGCTCCGAGCTCGTATCTAACCTGCAGAGCAGAAAATCGACGACCCCAGAACGCTCTCTCCCCCTTGTACCAAGGTGATCTTGGCTCGAGAGACCCGGCTAGTGGCTGATGGTGGCGCAGGTGATCGAGGTGCTCAAGACGATGTCGTCGTGGGTAGACGAGATCCCTCCCATCAAACAGCCAATGAGATACGGAAACAAGGCCTTCAGGTGCGTCTAGCCTTCCATGGCCCCGTGGAGTTGCAGGTGGTGCAGGTGGTGTTGACGAGGATGAGGATGGAGATGATGGTGGTGATTGTGGTTGTGGTTGTGACGATGATGATGATGGAGCTGCTGAGGATGCTGATGCCGTTGATGATAGAGAAAACGATAGATATGACGTTGTGCAGGGACTGGATGGACAAGGCGGCTGAAGAAGTTCCAACGATGGTGGAGGCAATGCTTCCGGATGAGATCAAACCTGCAGCTATTGAGGCGACTCCTTACCTCCTTGGAAGGTCAGGGAACAGCGACTTGTTTCTCTCAGCTGATCGAGGCCTGACAGCTTGGGGGACAAGACTCGCATCGACTACGGGACAGGACACGAGCAGGTAGAGAGTCTGCTGGGAGGCAGCTGCACTGATACAGGGGCAGATGTTCATCTGCTTCCTGGCCCTGTTGGCTAAGATCAACTTCTTCAAGGTCTGCAGGCACAGATGGAAGTGCTGAGGGTGAAGGGAACCTTGCAGGAGGAGGACGCTGACGCCCTCGCGTTGAATGTCTTCTGGGAGTACCTTCAGCTTGTCAGGAGACTTCAGCTCGCCTACCGACTGGAACCGGCGGGATCGCACGGGTGACATCTTGCCCCCCCTCTGCCGTTCCCCCTCTCCGCCTCATCTCCTCTCCTCTCCTCTCCGCTCTCCTCTCCTCTCCGCTCTCCTCTCCTCTCCGCTCTCCTCTCCTCTCCTCTCCTCTGTTGGCTCGAGGTCAGAATTTCCTCTTCCCTACTCTCCTCAAGTCTGCCTCCTCTTACACGCATCGTTGCAGATGTTGGAGTTTAGACGACTATCAGTTCATCCCTTTCTTGTGGGGATCAGCACAGGTGAACTGCACAGCAGGCCAGATAGTAGCGACGCTGACTTGGTGGGGGTCCAGCTGATGAATCATCCTACACTCCTTCCTTCATCCATCCACGTGAGGATCTGGGATTGAGGAGTTGTCCTTCCTTTGCTCACTCTTGGGATCAGGAAGACTGGGTGGTCAACAGCAACGCAAAGAGGTATCTTTGACTTGTCAGGCTGCCCTGGCGATGCTGATCACCTCTCAAGCTACTTCTACTTCCACTGTGTTCAGTTCATCCGGACAGTCAAGTCTGGGTGCGTTGACCCCTGTGGCAAGTCGATGGTTGACCCTTTCGCAGCTCCTTGTCGGAGAACTCTCCCATGCTCAATGACATCAGCGCCATCGCCACCTGGCAGGTAAATCTCTCTCCTCCCTCCTCTCCTCCCTCCTCTCCTCCCTCCTCTCCTCTCCCTCCGTCTCCCTCCCTCCTCCCCCCTCCTTCCTCCTCCTCTCAACTTTCTCTCTCCCCCTCCTCTCCCTCCCTCCTCTCCCTCCCTCCTCCCCCCCTCCTTCCTCTCCTCTCAACTACTCTCATCCCCCTCCTGCTCTCCTCCTGCTCTCCTCCTGCTCTCCTCCCTGCTCTCCTCGCTCGTCTCCTCCCTCGTCTCCCTCACTCCTCTCCCTCCCTCCCAGTCACCCCCTCCCCACTTCCCCTTCTTCCTCTCAACCTCTCCCCCCTTGGCCTCTACTCTCCCATCCTTCTCCTCCTCCTCCTCCCTTCCTGCTCTTCCTCGTCCTCTCTCCCTCCCTCCTCTCCCTCCTGCTCTTCCTCGTCCTCTCTCCCTCCCTCATTCCACCAGCTGATCACACTTCTCACAGCGTGTTAACAACGGCATGTGCAAGATGTTCTTCGCCGAGGTCATGGACAAGTTCCCCGTCATGCAGCACATGCTCTTCGGCGGCATCCTGTCCGCGCCGACGGAGGAGGAGGAGGGCTAGCTCACTCGGCTTCCTCGCTACATGGCGGGTGAAGCACAAGGGGGAGGGAAGAGTCTTTTGTATTATTGCGATAAAGGAACTACAACGTCTGCTGCTCTCTTCCGCCTCGAGTTGTTCTGAATCGTCACTCTAGTATCTACGACCAGCTCTCCTTCTTGAACGAGAGTTGACCAGGTTTGACGTGTGGATGTGATGAGGTAGAGATGGAGAAAAGCTGAAGATATTAGCTCGAAAATGACATCATCCCATCTCATCTCGTCTAGTCTCTTCTAGTCTCATGTGGTCTTGTCTTGTTTTGTCTTGTTGTGTCTGCTCTGCTCTGCTCTGCTCTGCTCTGCTCTGCTCTGCTCTGCTCTGCTCTGCTCTGCTCTGCTCTCCTGTCCTCTCATATCAGCCCATGCGCCTTGAGTGCATCCTCCCATATGAAGCTCTGGTTCATGGCGATATTCTTCCTCACTATCCTCTCGAGCTCTTCCTCATCGCATCCATTCGAGCCCATCATCCCCAGCATCTTCCTCGAGTCCTCCACGTCCATCGGCCTCACCCGCTCGCTCGTCAGATCCCTGCAGCCGAAGCCATCGAAGGAGATGCGAACGAGCTTGAGCAGCTTCTTCCCCCTCCTCCTTGTCCCCGTGTAATCTTCCTCCTCAACGATGCGGAAGTCGATGAAGACGCTGCCGTTGTTCACCTCCACCTGCACGTCCGCGTCCCTGAACGTCCCTGCCTGGAGGCGCATTTAAAACCAATGCTGTGTAAAATGTACCTGAACGGGAGGAGGGAGGAGGAGGAGGGAGGAGGGAGGAGGGGGAAGGGAGGAGGGAGGAGGGAGGAGGGAGGAGGGAGGAGGGAGGAGGGAGGAGGGAGGAGGGAGGAGGGAGGAGGGAGGAGGGAGGAGGGAGGAGGGAGGAGGGGGACGTATAGGTGTGGAAGAGCTTCTGGCACACAAACTCGCAGTCGCAGCTCACGCAGCATGAGGGTTCGAGCGGAGTGCGGCGATTTAAGGAGTGGAGTGGACCGGCAGCGGGAGCAGGGAAGAGAGCGTCAACATGTTGACATGATGCTCGTTCGTTTGTTGGTTTGTTCAATCATGTTGTACACGGGAAAGCTGAAGAAAGGATACTTCCAACTCCCTCCCTCCCTCCTCTCCCTCCTGCTCTTCCTCGTCCTCTCTCCCTCCCTCATTCCACCAGCTGATCACACTTCTCACAGCGTGTTAACAACGGCATGTGCAAGATGTTCTTCGCCGAGGTCATGGACAAGTTCCCCGTCATGCAGCACATGCTCTTTGGCGGCATCCTGACCGCGCCGACGGAGGAGGAGGAGGGCTAGCTCACTCGGCTTCCTCGCTACATGGCGGCTGGATGTCCGTAACTGTCTTCTCCCAGAACGTCCCCAAGTTTGACCTGCGCAGGAGTCACTGAGTACACAAGGAGAGATTCTGCAAGTTGCGATGGACGTGAGCGGGATGGTTGACTCCCGCTATCTCTCAGATGTTAGTTTTCCCCTGCATACTCCTTTGGTCGATCTTTGATTCGCTTCAAATATTATGCCACCAAACTCATCTCTTCCACAAGATAGCTTTCCAACTATCCCTCCAAGTGACCTTGGAATTTCCTGCTATCGACTTTCCCTACACTTCACCAATTCCTCCTCCCTCCTACAACCCCTCCCTCGCTCCTATCCTCACTCTATCACCTTGCTATCATTCTAAGCTCTTACCAATAGTCGTAGTCGTAGTTGTGGTAGATCCTTTCCGCCTCCGCCTCCTCACGCGTTAGCTGCCGCAGCATCGCGAACATGGCAATCGACCACAAATAGAGGGAAACGGTTACATTCCGTTTCAGTGAAAGTTCAGCCCTGCGGCCGCCGGGCCGCGCGGCCGGGATCAGTCGGATCCCCGCCGGCCCGGCCCAGTTTAGATTAATCGGAGCCTCGAGCCGAAAAATCTTCTTTTCAGAAGGCGTTTAAAAATTTGTTGCGACGCGACGTACTTTTTCCTGTAAGGCCTTTCCCAGTCGGACCGTCCGACGGACGAGGGCTCCGACCAGGCGACCCGACTTGCTCGAGTCAGCCCAGAAGGCCGAGGGCCGGGGGGTCATGATCGTTCTTGGCTCCTATTATCTCGATCCATCTCAGCCTGTTAACTAAGGAACACACTCAAAAATGCCTTTACTACCACACAAGCAGCTGCTCACGAGATCAAAAACTTGAACTCAAATGGCGTCCGGAGTCTTCAAAGCCGTAGGATCTGAGAGTCTGCTGCCCGACTCGGGTGACTTCCTAGTAGTTGCTAGCTTTTGTACCGCCCCTTGAGTAAAATCTCGAGGTAAGAGGTCGCAGGACACCTGCAATGGCTCCGAAACGGTGCGGTTCTTGGACCCTATTAGCCCCTGTAAGCCCCTTCTTCGGGCAGGGCGTCCGAAGGGGCCCCACAACCCCATTATAAAGGTTGCCTCCTATCTTGCACGCAGTACCAATCCTCGCTTCTCCCCACCCTTCTCCGCTTCATCCTTACCCTCCTCCTTACCCTCCTCCTTACCATCTTCCTCGCTCTCCTCCTTGACCTCTTCCTCACTCTCCTCCCTGGTGCTGCGTCTCGTGCCCTGTCCTTCCTCGACCCCTCGTGCTGCTCAGGCTCCTCTTGCTAACGAGAGGACCTCCGGCACCTCATGTCCCCCCTGGTTTCTATTCGCTCCCAGGACCCTCCTGCTCAGTGTCATTCTCTCATAGCTCTTCCCTCAGCGTCCACTTCACTGCCTCCATCCTCTCCTTTACCTTCCCCATCTTCCTCCTTCAAGACCCTCCAGCTCGCCCGCCTCCGCGGCGCCATGGAGTACATCCGGGGGCTACAGGAGCAGCAAGGTGGTAGCATCGACGGGCAGTCACTGCCATGCTCAGCTTTGAGGGTCAGGGTAGAGATTTCCAGTCTGTATCACGACGACAGGTCATCTACCTCTTGCAGATAGGGCTGATGAAAATCTGCCTCAGCTTTAGGCTGACAAACCTTGCCTGTCCGATCCGGACAATGAAATTCTGGGCCATGGCATCTGACCTGCCCACCAGAGTCGGATGGTAGAGCATTAAGAACGAAGAAGGCGGGACGGAAGGACGTGCGATGATTTCCTTGTAAGATATGTAATGTATGGGAGTAAAGAGCAACTGTAAATGAGCCCGTAGCCTGTTTGAGTCCCACACAAGTCACTCACTGAGCAGTGAACTCCTGAGCTGATTAACAATATCGAGACTCTGGACATCTGTGTAGAGATCATTAGATTCTTCTGTCACTATTGTTACATAGAAAATCGTATTAATACACTGTTGATATGAGCTTAGTGTTAGCCTTCCCACAAATCCATCTATATTCATTCGATTGTCTCCGATCCCAGCACTGACACAAAGTCCTTACTTGCCATGATCATCGGGTAGTATACTGGCAAAGGCTTTTGTAGCGGGTGCCACGGACCGTACGGTTTCAATACTTTCGGTGGGAGCGCGGCCTGGCTACAATGTCGACCGGGAGCATGAAACAATGTCCGACTAGTAGATGCAGGTGTGAGTTCAGGACATGCCGATCAAACGGTTGTCTCTTGAAGGATCGCGATCTTAATATCAAGGCAGCCGCTGAGCGAACTTCGGAAATCAGGCGAGTCATGTGAGCCGACCGTCGGGCCGAGCCGTCGGACGCACTGACTCGGAACTAGCAGTGCCGCGAGACCGGGCCTGGCATGCCAGGGCCAGGCGGCCTCCGAACTCAGCGGAACGGTTTGGACTAGGGCTCCGGACGGCCGGGCCCGGGCCAGCCGGGCCCCGGGGCTCGCGGCGCTCGACGGCCCGGCCCAGAACGACTCACTGTCAGGTACAAGTGATTGAGTGAACAGAAGCCAATGAGGCAATGGCCGCATTAGCATACCGAGATACCGAGAGCGACGGGAGGAGGAGAAAGAGGAGAGAGGAGAGAGGAGAGAGGAGAGAGGAGAGAAGGGAGAGAGAGGATGGAGGAGAGAGGAGAGATGTGAGAAGCGAGGAGCGAGGAGCGAGGAGTAGACCTTGATACAGAAACAGAGATGAAGCTCGAGGACTGGAACCTCCTCCAACGATTCAGCGCCTGACTGTGTCGCTGGTTGGCGAGAGGCTCCGCGCAAACCTCAGCATGCGATCGTGCAGCTGGTTGCACTTGGTTCTCATTGGAGCCGCGGCAAGGAGCTGCCTACAGGATCCCATGCTCAGGGGAGGTGCGGCAGCGCTCATCGGCCATAGGGCTCGAGTTGCGATGAGAGGAGGGTACCAGGACATGATGTACACCGACAAGACGTTCTCTCCCGAAGACTTCACGGCCCTCTTTTCGCTGCAGGACAACGATCTCATCTCGCTCTGCCATGCATGCGGCATCAACCCTTTCGGAATGACTTCGACGGAGATGATTCATGCGCTTCAGAACGTCGAGGGAATCTACAAGGAGTTCCTCTCCGAGGCCCTGGAGGAGATCAGGACCGGCCGGCCAGCGGATTGCTACCTGAACAACACAGGCATGGAGGACGAAGCTGGGATGCAGCCTGTTGAGGTCATGCAGGTGATCAACGAAGCTCCAAGATTCGAGAACCTGAGGAAGGGCTTCTTCGACCCCCCTCAGCAAGGGATCCCAACTTACCGTTCAGCGCTCAACCCGGTTCCTCGCAACTTGAAGTCGCCCGTGAATCAAGATGAGAAGCTTGACATTGATCAACTTGAAGTGAAGAATCCCCCGAAGAGGGCGAGGAAGGATGCACAGCCGGCAAGAGGGAAAGGGAGGGGGAGAGGTGGAGCGAGAGTTGGCCAGACCAGAAAGGGAGCAGGAGGAGGCAGAGCAGGAGGAGGAGAAGAGAATGATGGAGGAGGAGTTGATGAAGAAGGAGGAGACGAGGGAGGAGCAGCAGTCGAAGGTGCAGAAGGGAGAGCTGGAGCCATGGGCAAGACGAAGTCTTCAGCGCGCATGGAGATGCCTCCTAGATTCTGTCAGTTCCCCAAAGGATGTCCGGAGCTGCCCTACTGGGGCTACATAGACGACGGGGTGCCGAGATTTTGCCTCAAGCACCGCCACGACCACCACATAGACGTCCGGAGCCCCCCGAGGTTCAAGTACATGGGGATTGCTCCCAACGGCACTAGAGTCTTCAGCCTGCGCAATATCCCAGTGGCAGAGGACCCCGACAACCCCGAGGACGCGCTGAGGTTGATGAGACACTTTGACGATGACCACCTGTGCGACCTGTGCGGAGCCAACGGGCTGGTACAGATGGCGTACGAGTTTCCCTTCCTCCTCTGGAAGTGGGACACCAGGAGGGTACAGCATGAGGTGTGGATGAAGGAAGTTGGGAGGATGCCGTCTCCTCCTCCTCCTGAGACCTTCGACTTCAACCCTGACCTGTTCCCCAAGGGCCCGTACTACACGCCCTCCGATGTGGAGTGGAAGCGCTTCGAGGGGACGCAGGAGGGAGTGGACCTGAGGACCAACAAAGACGTAGAGGATGCGGAGGAGCTGTATGCAATCCTGGAGGAGGAGCGAGAGCTGGCGGAGAAGGAGACGGAGGAGGAGAAGCAGAAGTTTGTCGACGAGTTCATAGCCCGTTCCATTGCCAACCAGCGAGCACTCGGCCTGCTGGGCAACAAGACCAGGGAGGGCTCGAGGAAGAGTAAGAAAGGGGACGCCAACGACATCTTCAAGATGGACAGCGGTTGATGGGACGCTCGCAACAAGTCTCTACACACCCCTAACATTCGAAGTCCAGCTCTGTTGATCCCAATTATACTTCTGTTCTTGTCCAAATGCTCCCCCCACACCTTTGTCCGGCTCTCTCCTCCCTACCTTCCTTCTGCACATCCTGTCCTCGTCATTGTCCTTGTCCTTGTCCTCGTCCTCGTCCTCGTCCTCGTCCGCCAAACGCTCTAATACCGCAGTGGGCGCTTCCCAACGACTCTCTCGTGCTTCCGGAGGCCCACCATAGACAGCTGGGCGACTCCTAGGAAGCTGAAGATCTTCAAGGCAGTGACCAGCCCAGCAGGCGGCGAGCTGCGTTCCCCTTGGTTGTCAAAGATAGCCAGCAGGAACTCAGTTGAGCCCTGGAACCCGTGCATGATCGACAGGTTGGCGATGACAAGGAAGGAAATGTTCATAGAGCCGCAGAGGGCGAGGATGTAGCGCCACCAGCGGCTTCTCCTCCAACCCTCGCACGCCTTGCTCTGCACAAAGTCGTCATGCGAGAAACCTGCTAATCTGCTCTTGCTCCCCCTCGTTGTTCTCTCCTCTCCTCCCCACTCTCCTCCTCATCTTCCCTTCTCCTTGTACATCCACCTTCCCGCATCCTCCTCCTCCTAGGTTGTCTTTGTCCTCGTTCTCGTCCTCTTACCTCTCCCAGTGCTGTTACAGCCAACTCAAGGCAGAAGAAGGTGCAGTTGAGCCAGGCCCAGGCCTGCGCAGCAGGCGACTCAAAACGTTTGCAAGTCGTGGAGGAAGGAAACTCGAGGGAGGACAGAAAAAGGAGATGGAATCAGGACGAGGAAAGGAGGTAGTGGAGCAAGGCAGAGGAAACAGGATCGGGAAAAGAGGAAAGGTGAAGCGATGGGTGGGTGGAGAAGAAGGAATTGGAGGAGAGAGGAGGATGAGTA